TCTTGCAAATAGTGTATTTGAACTACAGGAGATATGATAATTAGAAGAGATTTCTTAACTGGGAAATGTTGTTAGCTGCTCTTTGAGGTTGATACTTAATTCTCCAGCTTCAATTTAAAAACAAGATTTGTCCGTATATCTTAGAGATTCCAAGCGTGTCCGAGCCTCAACACTGAAGGGATGGTCAATTGTAATCAGTTAAAGGATGTTTGCCACAGTACTACACAGTGGTGAGCCTAAACCTGTACAGCACCTACAGATTAGCAGTGGGAAACAAAGTGCATATGGATATCTACAAGCTGGAGAGATTTCTATTAGAAAAGCTTGGTACAGTTTATAGCAAGAAGGTTGTAGATGAAAATTCTTCCTGAAGTCTGAGAACAGTGTATTTGTGGATGCTTCCTGTATTGCTTTTTCTTTCAGTGACACAGCATCCTTTTGTAAAAGTCTTTGAAGCAAGCAGGACTTTACATGGTACCCCAGTGATTCATTTAAATTGCAGGTCTTGTTGACTAGGTCATAGCCACATGACACAAATATAATTATTTTAGTATATTTAACGATTGCATAGGATCCAAAAGTGGCACAGGATAGAGCACGGCTCTCTATAATCACCTTTAAAATTAGCCACGTATGTCATTAAGATGCTATGCTGTGAGTTCAGTGGTGCTGGCCATTCTGTCTTTCCACATAGTGCATATAAACATCCACAAATCTGTTACATTGTTTTTCAATAAGGCTAATCAATAGTGCATTGTTTTCTACTACACAATTCAATAGTAGATTTTAGACAGTTTGCTATTTGCACTGTAGTACACTTAACTGTAAAATGTGCTATTTTATATTTTGGAGGGGGTAACTGCATCATTATGATCACTTCCTTCTGCAGTGAGGTGATTTCTTTCCTCATAGCAGAGGCCTGTGAAAACTCTGAAAAGGTAAACCTGCTTGAATGAGTTTTGCTCACAGTTTACACTTGGAATTTCATTTGGTTAAATTTTATACTGAGGTCCTGGTTGCCTGTTTGTCCTTAGATATCCAGTTCCCTTAAGTTACACCATTCTGTGAGTTCTAGATACACTCCCAAAGATATATAAATCTAGTAATAGGTAATATGGCTATTTTGTAGCTTTTTAAAAAGTGTAACTTTCAGCTGTTTCACCTTGACTAATACATTCTAAGTTACCCTTAAAATTACAGTCTGTACAGGCTTCAAGCATGTGTGGTTACAGCTGGGAAATCAAGAGGGTTTAGAAGCTCTATAATTACTAACTCTGTGTTTATGTAGGTGCAGTCCTTCAGCTCCACCACATCATCCTGTACTCTGTCACTGCTGCAGTTCTGAGTAGCACATCTACAGGAAGATACATATAAAACTGTATACACATATTAAAAAAATCCAGCACATCACGAACAGATCTTTAAACCAGTAACATGAGATCTGCTGACCTTTCTGAGAGAAATGTGATGGGGCTTTGCTTGAACAGATGTCTAGATACAAAATGAGAGCATGACACCATCAGTCATTTTTAAAGAATGTAATGCCACTGACTGTTCTGGCCAGAGTTTGTGACTGTGATCGGTGGAAGCGTCTGGGCAGGAGTGTGTTTTGGGTAGGCTTTTTTGCAACTACTAGGCAACAGTGTATGTATGTGCTCAGTTTTAGAAATGAGGCCAGAGGCAGTCAGAAAGATGTGAGTAATAATTTTCTTTCTGAACACCCTCAATCTTTCTGACAGTAGTTTTGGAAGTGTAAGAAGTGTAGCACTTCATATCAAACTCAGGATAAGTGATGAGACATAAAATTTTCTTCTTTCTAAATTGTGCACAAAAGCCTTTGAAGATGTTCAGGGAGAGTTGGCTGCTTATATCTCAAAAGTAGCACCTGGACAGGAGTCCCAAAAGCTGTTTCAGCAGGAAGTATAGGGTTTGCATTTAAGTCATATACTTACAGGGTACTGTAAGTAACTCATTAATATACAGGGACATGACATGATCTCTATCTTTGCATACACACCACTATATGTTGTACATACAATTATATGCTGGACCTTCTTTCTTTCTCCCTCCCCCTTCACCTGTTGCATCCCCCTTGTTTGCACTCTCTGGTTTCTGGGTAACACTACAGTTTGAATGGCCTCTGGGAAAGACTTCACCAGGGCTGGTAGTTGTTGAGAGATGGGAACAAGAGGTAGCACGTGTATCTGATTGTCACACTGAAGATCAGCAAGCTGACTTTCTTACACCACTAATTGCTTAAGAACAGAATAAGGCTTCAGAATAGTCCCTGGTGTTCCCTGCAAATTAGAAAACTGTGGCTATAGTAGAACTGGCAAAGATGTCTTATGATTTCTTGTGGCCTACAAAAAACTGCTGAGTATTCTTTTGTGGAGTTCAGTTGAGGATTTGCAATATTTTTAAGCAAACTTCACCCGCACCATCCATGCTTCTTGCTTGTCTTCTTGTCAATGCACCACATGTGGACTACAGAACCATAACATGTAGGGTTTTAGTTTAAATTTAATCTGAATTTCAGCTCATACTTTCAACACCTTGGCTAAAGAAAGCATTACTAACAACCAAGCAAAGCAACTCCAGGGAACTTTCTGTACAAATATGCCATTTTTCTGCATAATTTGCATTTGTATTTTGAATTGTCACTAGTTATCCCACTGTGCCTTATTACGCCTTCTGCTCTCTAATCTATATTGTCTTTATATTAGTGGTTAGCATATATGAAAATAGTTTGCATTATTATTATAGTTTATGCTTTCATCTTCCCCCCTCTCTGTTTTTGCTATTAACTTAAAATTAGTAAAATTACTGTCTACAAATGTCCTAAATATTTCAAAGCTCTTATATGATAGTAGGAATCAGGCCTATCTGGTTTTACTCTTTGTGCTTCCACTAAGCTCCATTTCGATGGTCAGCTGTTTTAAATAAAGGATAGGAGTAAAAATCTGTAAAAGGATTTTGTAATTCAGAATACTGTCATAATAGGTTTTCAACACTGGAATAAACAGGTAACACTTAAAATACTGATTAGTGGTGCAGAATGGTTTACAAAAGCTAGAAGCAGTGCTTCTTTAGGGTGAGTAGCTTATCGGATAATAAAAATTCCCGTTCCCGTAAGGCAAAATGCTACTTGGATGCTACTTTTCTCAAGTAACCAAGTGTCAGAGATGATGGAAATTGAAATCTCAGTTGTGGATGGGGCACAGATATAAAATTCTGTGTAACTTTGCTGATCCCTCCAGCTGGGTTCCTGCAGTGATCTCCATGAGTTACTTTATGGTTTTATTTACCATAACTGTCAGGGGCAAATACCTGCATGCACTACCATGCATGGCTGGGAAACTGCAAAAGTCACCTAGTCCAAGACATGGGGATGTCACCCTATGCATTTGAGGTACACTGTTTTAAGCATTTCATTGTTGATTCTCAAAATGGGGAAAAGAAAACCTCTCACCTTGAATGTTTTGTAACATAAGAAGAAATCACACCACTGCAGCACAATAAATACTAAAATAAAGCCGGGAATAAGTCACTGGTTTGGGTTTTGGATTTCAATGAGTTTTACCCCGTGTTCGAAATAGCAATTTTTCTGTAGGTCACGGTGCCGTGGGCAGTGATGCCGTGATCCCCCTGCGCTGCTCCTGTCCCATGTGACGGGGCTCTCAGCGCTGGTCCCGGTGCTGCTGTGTCACCACCTGGTGGAAGACTGAGTACACCCATGAGAAAGGGGAAGGGGCTCCGGGGGTGTGTAACTAGGCATTTTTGACTGAAATTATTCTGACGTTTTACAAAAATAAGGCTGCGGAGACTGTGTACCTGCTAGGAGTCGGCAGTTTGATCTGACAGTCTGTGTGTGTGTTGTTACTGCTGCACCGACCATTGTACAGCCGTTTTTATCATAATTTAGATTTTGATTTATGTTGTTATTCAATCCAGCCATCACAAAATGTTTACTTTTAATGCAGTGATGCACTGGACATGTAATGGGTTATGTGTCCTGTAAAATGGCTGGGGTAGTTCATGGCTGGCTTGCATTCACTGGGATTGAAGCCGTGTGTATTCAGCAGTACACTGTGCAAAAGATAACTGGTGTAGCATTTACTTCAGATTCTCAGTGTTTGCACATCCATACTTTGTCCCAGTTTGATTTGACACTGACTGGCCCGTCTGTTTTTTCATTTGTTTTTTCATAAAACATATTCGTTGTAGTTGTTTTGTCTACTCCACACAGGTATACAATGTGACCATTTAAACTAGATATTGTCTAAACTTATCAGCCCCAAATACGATAGATACATATGCTTTCACATAGGTTTCAGCAAATTCTTCAGTACAGTTTTTGGGGAGGGGAAAGTGTTAATTTTACTAAAAGTATTGAACAGTCATAAGATAAGCTTTAGAAACAGTCATTTCAATAAAATAGAAAAAATTAAAATTCAGTAAGGAACTGAATCAAGACTTCAAGAGCAAATTTTTTTTTTCCTAGGTTGGATAACAATTTCATCATCATAGTTTGCAGAGCAAGACAAAAAGTAGAAAAGAAAAAGCAGAAGGATTATATGCATGAAATTAGGTGTGTTAATATGTATGGCCATCCTGTGGTAATGAAAATACTATGTTATATTTTTTAAAGAAAAAATAATATTAAAAACCAAGTTTGGGGTTCATTTGCTTAATTTAGATTACAACCCCTTCAACTCTGTGTCTTCTTATGGCCATGATGAATACACAGTAATTTCTTTGGTAATTGCTTGCATGGACTGAGAATTGCTACTGCTGAACAGATTATTTTTATTTTTTTTTTTAGCTTAAAAAGGTCAAATTAGCCTTATATAAAATACATGGAAACAAGCACAGGTGTCTCTAGCATAGCATAAGTCATTGGATTGCCAGAGCCTATATCTTTACAACATGGTGTTTTCAACCACTTTCAACTTCCGTATGAGCTGTAAACAAACTTGGGTATTTTTGTTTGTTTTACTCAGTTGGAAAGTCATCGATTCCAGGGAAGACTACAGACCCCGAATAAATCAGTGCATTTCAGAAGCACTGATGAATTTATTTGTATTTCTTCAAGAAATGTCCCACTTTAAGGAACAAAACCCTGGCAAGGTAAGGACTCCCAAGTGAGATTAACAGTTCTATATGGTTTAATAAATAGGTGAGATAGATTTTAAGAAAAACAAACAAGCCAGCAAGCAAAAAAATGGAAACATAAAATACACATGCTGATGCATTAAATCATGAGTTTCTGCAAACTTTTTTGTGCTGTGGAGAACATGGGTAGGAAGTCAGTGAGAAAAGCTGTTCAGTAAACAGTAAAGTTTATAGCAATACAGTTATTCCATGGGCTTTTTAAAGGAAATTTAAAACATAACAATTTAATAAAAACTTTAAAAAGAAAAAAACAATATAGGCATGTTCCTGAAGATAAACTTTTTCTTTTTCCTCAAAAAAGTCTTCAGGAATAGCTGCACAAGTATTTAATGTAAGAAGAGAGTTCCTCATATTTTATTGTGATAATTTTTCTTCTATACGCTTATAGTTGGTGGGTTTCCTTATTTTTTTTTACTGGAAAGGCTGAGCTGGAGAACCCAGTTCATGAAGAGGCAAGCAAGAGGAAAGATTTTTCCTTTCAAATCGGAATATCACTATTTAGTTCTAGTCAAAAGTGAAGCAGAGTTTTTTTTTTTCCAAAGAAAAGTATAAATAATGTAGAAGTATATTATGGCAATATAGATTTCATTTTTATATTTGTATTGTTAAATACAAGTTAAAAGGAGATTAGGAGGCTTTTTCTCCTCTTCTAATCTTGGTTAATTTTACCACAAAATTTTCCCTGAAAACAGATTGTATGTAGTACCACACTCAAATATTAGCAGTTTAGACTGAAAATACAGATGAGCAACAAGATGAAATATCTTTCAAAAATTAACAAATTATACAAAGAGGAGTTATATGTTTGGACAATAAATAAATAAATAAATAAATATACTTTAAAGTATATAAATAGTATATAAATAAATATACTTTGGACAATAAACATACTTAAAAAATTATGTATATGATGAATAAGGAAATGGAGTATCAGTATATGCAATCCCATAATTCTGTTATGTGGTAACAGGACACAGTAACTGTATGTTAAGATATATCTAATAGGAGTCTAGAAAAGCTAATTTTGACAGCATGCTTTCTGTTCTTTTTCCTGACCTCATTCTCTAAGTCATGTCATTATTTTACTGCTATAATTAGAAGCAAATTAGACAGTGATGCTGTGTGCAAAATTTCTCTGAAATAGCCATTTTATTGCAGTTTAGCTCCAAAACCAAATGGATTCTATCTGTAAACTTCCAACAGATCAATTCTGTTCTCAGCATTGTGCAGTTATGAAAGATGCACTGTGTGTCTCAGTCTCCACAGAGACCAAATCTTGAATTTTATATTGAAAATTCAGCTCAGTCTTGTCATTAACAGGGATGCTAGAGTAGCCAACAAGCATCGAGAGAATGCTTGCCAGCATATGAGAGAAAACAGTTTCACGAAGCAACACAACAGGGGAGAGAACTGTAGCTATAGGAAGGATGTTTTGCTTTTGTAACCATACAGTAAGTATGTATTGTAATATTGCAATTAGTGAGTTGTTTTTTCTGCATATAAACTGTTCAGTCTTTCTTTGTGTAATGAGGGTGAAGTAATTTCTAGTAATTTTAGCAATAACTGTGAGCTTGTTAAACCTTTACAGTAAATGAATAAAAATAGCATATTTTTATGATAGAAGAAGGGATGCATCCTAATTAGCCCAAAGGGAATGTTTGATACATATTTTCACCAGAAGCATTAAAAGTATTTCCCAGTTTAAAAAGAACAAACTTCAATTTTGCACTGCATTCTAGTTAGGATTTAGCATGCAACATTTTTCTTTTGCAAAATTATCTAAACAGTTAAATAGTGAAAGTGTTAATGGTCAATTTTAATGTTTTTACCAGTTTTGCCTACTAGTCTGCAGCATATGTACATTTTTCACTGTCTTGGGAAGTTACGTTCCTGGAGTTGTCCTCTCCTATGTCTTGTGTAAGTATAGTCTCTCTTTCAGTCATGATTTGTGTATGTGGTTTATTCATTATTTGGTCTCTATATGGGAAATATTTATTTATATACATCTATTTATGCACACATACAAGTTTCCAGAAAACACCAGTCTCTGTGGGACAGGATGCTGTCCAGAGGGACCTGGACAGGCTCAAGAAGTGGGGCAGCCTCCGGCAGGGGGACTAAGGGATTGAGAACAGCCCTGCTGAGAAGGACTTGGGGGTGCTGGTGGTTGAGAGGCTGGACATGAGCCAGCAATGTGCACTTGTGGGCCAGGAAGCCAGTTGTGTGTCCTGGGCTGCATCAAAAGCAGCGTGGCCAGCAGGTAAAGGGAGGAGGTCTGCTCTGCTCTGGTGAGGCTCTACTTGGAGTACTGCATCCAGTTCTGGGTTCCCAGAAAGACATGGACATGTTGGATCAAGTCCAAAGAGGCCACCAAGATGATCAGAGGACTGGAGCACTCTCCTGTGAAGACAGGCTGAGCGATTTGGGGTTGTTCAGCCTGGGGAAGAGAAGGCTCCAGGGAGACTTTTTTGTGACTTTTCAGTTTTTAGAGAGGGCATATAAGAAAGATGGGGACAAACATTTTAGCATGGCCTGTTGCATTAGGACAAGAGGTAATGGTTTTAAACTGAAGAAGGGTCAATTTAGATTAGATATAAGTAAGAAATTTTTAACAATTTTTTGCCTTAAGGAAGTCAGCTTACTGTTTTTTTCAGTGTGTTGATTCCAGCACAGTGTTGCATAATCATGTTTTCTCAGGTCAAGATAACAAAATCAGGCTAAGTCAGGATGATGATAAATGTTATAATGATCATAAATTGTGCTTTACTGAAAGTAAAAAGGGATGTCAATTGATATCAATGCGATGGTATTTTCTGTGATGAGTAGGAGCGGCTCTTGGAAACGGAATTTGATGTTAACAGTTTGCTTGACATGGGCATTTCACAGAGCATTTTTATGTAAACTAATTGTATTATGTAAAATTAGTAGTTATATGCAGAGGCATTGTTTAAGCTTTATTAACTCCTTATACAGTGATATTTCAATGCAATTTTTCTCTGTCTTCATTTTTATCACAGTATTGTGTGCCTTTTTGTGTCCCTTCCTTAAGTGCAATGAATTTGGACAGAAAGTATGCAGCAAAATTAAGGCTGTTCTGATGAAACTAGATTTTGGAATAGTGGAATATATCAACCAGAAGAAAAAAGAGAGATCTGGTGAGTAATTATTAGTCCCAAGTAATGCATTTCTGTATGCAGAGAAAATTTTATTCACCTTGCAGACAGTTTGGTTTGTCCTGAGAAGCCAGTTGTAAAGATATTTCTTGCTTTTAACCTTGCTACTCTTATTAACTTTATAAGGGGTGACAGCATATGTCAGACATCTGGGTATAATAACGAAAATTACTATTTCATGGAAAAAGCAAGGCAAGCTCTTCATACTTTAGTATATGTACTGCTTGTAAATTTTCTGAAAAAAACTTCTTGCTGTAAGCGTGCAATACTTATAACTGTTTAGATAAGGCAAAGTTACCTAGGAGAGAGACTCACTTAAGGGTCTCAGAATAAGTGCATAACAGAATTTTCAATAAGAGACAAAACTCTATTTTGGTATCTAAATCCTCCTTGGTTTCTCTCCCCATAGCAGAAAGAATTGGTTTTCTTCCCCAAATACTCAAAAAACATTTAAGAACTGCCATAGGATAGTAGCTACAAGTTAATCAAAATTTTTAGCTGGAAAGGGGAGAAATCAATTTAAAACAAAATCTCAACCATCTCACCTGAAATTTTCCTAACATTGGAAACTTTTATATTTTAAGCAATAAAGCTATTTCAAGAAAAATATGTATATGAACAGTGTTGTTTTGTTTGGGTTTTTTGTGTCCATTTGGTAATTATACCTTTGTAATGTAGTCACATTACTTGCAGGTAGCCTACACTCTTTAGTTAGTTTACATCTGCTCTAAAACATGCATTTCTTGTAACCATTCACTATGCAATGTGATGTTCCTAGATCCAGTGAGAACCACCGTCTGTCTTTTCCCCTTCCCTTATGAGTACAATGCAGTAGTTGTCAGAAAGGAGGAATAATGCATTTAAAATTTTCCTTCATGTATTATTTTACATTGTTAATTTTTTAAGTGAAACTTGCAGAGGAAGAAATTAGACTTGTTTATTAATTTCATAAGCCAGCACTGGGAATATGATTGAGGTTAGATGCGTTCTTTCCTGCATTTTGCCCTGCATTTTAATTTAATCCAGTCAAGATTTCCAACCTCACTTTGCCACTTGGGTTCACCACATAAGTTCACAAGCCCTTGTGCTGGCACAACAGAGGAAAAAGCAAGTTGCAAAAAGAAGCAACCAAGAATACTCTGACTGTGTGTTTCATTTTATTTGGTTTAAAAGATTCTCAGACAGAGGAGGTGAAATTTGTGTCTCTGCTCATCTTTAAAGAGCAACATTCTACCAGACTTCAGAGGGTGCTTTGCATGTGACTGTGAATGCAGGGTAGCTGGGTGCAAAGACGACGGGTTTTGTGGATGAAGATTACATGCAATTATCCTGAAAATTGCATGTTCTCATGTAGAAATGTGATGGGATAACTACACAGCCTGTTCTAGCAGTATGTTAACCTGTCCACTGTACCAGCAGTGTAGTTTAAAAGACAGATATATATTGCCAGGACCGGTAACATTATGGTGAGCAACAGACATTCCTGAAGGAAGTACAATGCAGGTAAAGGAATATGTTGGAATGCGTTTCAGAGCAACGTTATCTCTCCTGCTTTGGCTGCTGCACAGTGCCTTTTGATAAGCATCCAGCCTCTCAGTCAGCCTTGTTTACCTCGCCTAAGTAGCATATTTTGTTAAGGATGCACTGCGTCAGCAGGTGGAAGGTTATTGTGCTACACAAGCTGTTTGACAGAGAACACACACTAAACCTGGAAATACACTGTCATGAGTAGGATAAAAAATATATTTTTTTTTCTTTCAGAAACAGCAAAAACAAAACCCACAGAAGATGACAGTGAATTAGACATATCAGCTCTGTGTCCTAAGGTGACTTTTTTTCAGTCATCCCTGTCTTGCTTTTAAGATCTATATAGATAATGGGAGACTATCTAGATTACTGTCTCTGTTCTTCTGTGGAAGACTTTAATCTGCCCAGAAGGCTGTGTTCCTGAACTAAGCAGTATGTTTTAGAAGTGATTCATAGTCTCCACCTTTAGGCTTATGCTAACTGACTTACTGCATTTATGACTTCTCTCCTTCAAGGTAATGGTTTATTTGGCCTACTGAGCTAAGAATGTATTTATTTTGTATTGGCTGTAGAATGATTAAAATAGAATTTAATAGCAAAGGTGGTTATTTTTATTTGAAACTGTGAAATTGAAGTTAATGTTTATCAAGTTAAAATGTAAAAGGGAAACATTCATAGAAACCCTACGTAATTTGTCAGATACTTTTGCAATCACTTTTTTGATAATTTTCAGTGCTAGTATAAATAGGTATATTATCTATAAATATCTTTCTAGACATGTATTGGGACACTCAAATATCTAATTTTTCCCTTAGTACTCTAAATAACTGTATGGCAAATCCCATGGGATATCTTTGTAGCTGACATAATTGAATATTGTTGGATAAATTAGTAAAGGGTAATATTTTTTAATTTAACTAAATTTTGATGGTTTTATAGATAATGGGCTGGGTTTTTTGATCCAAGTTTACTTGTTCCTTTACATTTATGCATACTTTGTACTTGCAGGCTCATTCAGCTTTTCTTACAGTAGGATATTACTTTCAGAATGAATAACTGGAATTTTTTATGCTTCTTTAGTATAATACAGCTTTCAGTGATTACAAAGAGGGATGCTTCACTTCTAGGCATTGTATACTATTATTTTCATTTTTCTACAATTAAAGCTTAAATAGGAGGTGATTCATATTGCTATGACATACGAGAGGGATTTTTTTCAATATCTTAAGCATTGGCTTCCTATTGTGTGAACTTTTTGAGTGTAAGAATACCATGTATGAAACTTTTTTCCATGTAGGTTAGTCCTGCAGTGGTTGCCAAAGAGCTGTCAGTGTCTGACACAGATGTATCGGAAGTGTCTTGGACCGATAATGGGACCTTTAACTTATCCGAGGGGTATTCTCCGCAGACAGACACATCTGATGGTATGTAATAGCTTCATCTGTCTCATCAGTGAATTCCAGTCATGCGAGTTACCTGAAAATTATTAGAGAATTTGACGACAGAAGTTTTTTGTGTTGTTACTTTCTGCTCTGAAATGAATTTTAAGATTAATTTTAATGTTTTGTATAGTTTTGGATACATTTTTTGTAAGAACTGTCCTCATCTTAAAAATAATAAACTACATCAGCAAGTGGCTAAATAAACAAGTAGTGCTAGGTAACACCAACACACTCAATAGCTGCCAAATGTAGCACTCTCTTCCACCAAACCTTTTCAGCAAGTAAACCTTTTAAGTTAGTACCAATGCTTTTGTGGGTAAGGTAAAGAAATAAAAGCTAAGGAAGAAACAGTGAATACTTGGACTTGTTAAACAGCTAATTAAGGAAAGTATGATTAGATTTTGTTACTAGAATGCAAATGAAGACAGCCAGCAATGAGCCTGAATTAGATATGAAGACTAAGACTAGGAAAAGATTCTCAAGCACTTGTCTTGATCTTGACCAGATCAAAGTTTTTACTTTTTACAATCCAAGCTATCAGTTAGCACTTTGCCTGAATAAAGATTATGGACAACAGTAGTTTGGTTGTTACATATACCACTCTTATTATCTTAATTATCTTAATACCACTCTCATCTGTGGATCTGTTGCTCTGCTCATCTTGCATTTCTCCTAGGAAGAGTTCACTGTGAATGACGAGAAGAGTGATACTACTTAATGGCATTATACATGCCAAATTAGTAATTTAAATTATTTTCTTAATATTTCAAGTTGTAAATAGACAGTATTGTATGATCACAGAATTGTAAGTTGTAAAGAGCAATTGTTGTTCATCTTATGTAACCTGCTATTCAAAGAAGGTTCAAAGCTCCTATTCAGAGCGTTATGAAGTTTCTCAGGGCTGTGACCATTTGAAATTTGAGCATCTTCAGTTGTAGAGATTCAGCAACCTCCCTAGACTGCCTTTTTCAATATTTGCTCTCCTTCACAATGAAAAATTTTTTATATTGAGTCAAAATTTCCCGTGTTCCAGATTGTATCAATTTACTCTCATCCTTTCACTGTGTACTTTCTAGAAGATTCAGGCCCATCTTCTCTATACCTTCCCATTTGGTTATTAAACTATCTGATTTCCCCTCTGCCACCTTCTCCTAGGGCCAAACAAGGCCCATTCTCTCAGCATCTACTCATACGTCCTGTTCTCCAACCCCCTAAATAATCATGATGGCCCTCCAGGGGACTCAATCCTGTCTATCATTGTCTGTCTTGGACAGGAGAGGTCAAAACTGGACAAAGTACTTCAATGTGTACTCTCAGTTGCTGAATAGAGGGGGAAAATCCCTTCCATTGACTTTCTGCCTTCCTTTTTGCTACTATAGCTCAGTATGTAGTTGGCCTTCCTTGCTGCAAGGACATACCACTGACTTGCTGTCCACAGGTCTTTTTCTGGAAAGCTGCTTTCTGTCTTGTTGCCCCAGCCTGTACTGCTGCACAGGTTATTCCATCCCAGAGGCAGGACTTCACATTTGCTTTTGTTGAATGTCATGATCTTCCTTTTCAGCCTGTTCCTCCTGTTGAGGTCCCTCTGAAGGCACGCTGACCTCCAGCATATCAAATACACCTGCCCCACAGCAGTTCCTTTCTGCCTGTGAACTTGCGGAGAGCGCACTCATCCTGTCATCCAAGTCATTAATCAAAACGTTGAACAGTGTTTGTTTCAGGACCTTTGACAGACACTAATAATGAGCGTCCAGTTGCACCTTGTGTTGCTGATCACAGCTCTTTGACCCTGGCAGTCTGGACAGTTTTCCACCCACCTTAGAGTTCCCTTACCCGATTCGCTCACAAGTTTGGCTTTAAGGATCATGTGGGAAACTGTGTTCAAGGCCTTGCTAAGTGAAAAATAAACAGGATCCACTCTTCTCCCTATGGAGTATTTCAGCAAATGGGACATATGCAAAAGTACAAGATCAAATGGGTTGCATCTGAGGAGTGGCTCATCTCCTGTCAAAGCTCTGTGCATTTGACCCACCGCTCCACATACAACACAACCCTTCCTCCTCACCTTCCCAACCTGTCTTTCCCCAAAAAAATGGAGAAAATTACATATGAGACACTTTTAGGATTTATTTGCTTAGCCCTTATAAATGGTCCTACAACAACTTCCTATTGCTTGTTTTCAAAGAAAGTAAGTTCAAACTGATTATTTTTTACCTGCTTATAAAAGTACTAGATCAAAGTTTTCCCTTGTACTCATTTAGGCCTCTTCCACAGGCCATATACTCCACAGTATGTTTTACAAATTTCTAATAATAAGTATTTGTCATTAATGCAGCCATTAAATTTAATGTTTTATTTGTTCACATTCTGCTTTTTATTCTCTTGAAAATGTGAAACAATCTCCATCATCTATAGTTTCCATTTTCTGTTCCCTATTTAATATAAGAATTGGCCAAGAAAGGAAAAACATAGAAATTAAGTCTTTACATGGGTTTTATATCTTCATATAAACACATAAACATTCTCCTTTGTTATTCTATGTGAATATTAAAAGCTTGTAACACATCCATACATGTTTACATATTTGTAATTTATATATATTGTGAAGAAAAATAGTTAGAGGCCTGTTATCGCACTATAAATTTTAGGACTTGATGTGGTTGGTATATTTAGAAATAGCTGTGCTAAAGATTCGCATGGGTTGTTTCACTGCAGCTAGACACCATTTTAAAAAGGTATTTTGTTCAAATAGTTAGGTCAATACCAGGTAATCTGTGGTACTAATTTTTCGACCTCAAAACCATTTTATTTTAGATGTCACAAAAAGCTCCTTTGCACTGGGGCTATAGAAAACTACTAGAGTATAGATTAGTAAATGTATTCAAAGGAACACTTACTAACTGCATTTTTACATGTCGCTCCTTTTTTTGGGAAACCTTTTGTGAGTGCTAACACTTTATTTTCTTCTGTTAACCCTTAATAGATTTTGACCGACCTAGTGATCACGAAGAAGCTTTCGCTAGAGATCTTTTAGAATTCCCTTCTTTAGAAAATGGCGCCGGAACAAATGATGACGATGACTCAAGCATCGGAATACCCATCCATCAAAAAGGAAGAAAAGAGCAAACAGATTTCAAGGTGGATCATGCTTCCAGACAGAGTAAAGAGAGACCACCCACTGCAGGATTGTCCTTGCCTTTGACCAGTGACCAAACCTTTAATTTAATGAGTGGAATTGCTGGTGATGTCATCACAGCCGCGGTGTCTGCTGCCATCAAAGACCAGTTGCGGTCCACACTGCAAGCTCCCTCACATGCAGCGCCCAGTTTGAGCGAGGAGACAGACACAGAGGAGGCCGATGATTTTGAACTGCTTGACCAGTCTGAGCTAGAGCAGATTGAGAAAGAATTGGGACTTTCACAAGGCCAAGAAGCTGAATCCCAGGAAAAGAAAAAGTCTTCAGGCTTCCTTTCAAATCTGCTTGGAAGTCATTAACCTGGAAATTGCAGCTGGTAGCATAGATGAAATTAAATATAAAACACACAAAAAAATCATCAAATGCAAAAAAAAAAAAAAAAAAAAAAAAAAAAAAAAAAAAAAAAAAAAAAAAGGAGGAAAATTCTGAGCTGTAAGCTTTAACTATCCCTTTAGATGTGTTGTTATAATTTCCCTTATGCAGAGTGAATTAACTGGATGAGTATCAGTTGATACTGATAGTTTAATTAGTTTCTGGTAGTTATACCTCAATGTAATAGCATGGAAATGAATTATCTATCCACTGTTTGGTTACAGATGAGTGATGGAGGTCAGTTGTTCAAAAGAGTTGGGGAGAGATTTCTCTTATCTTTTTGCCAACCATTTATTTTGGGGTCCTGAGCCAAATTTTCAACATCAGCAATTTATTTACTCTTGTTTGCCAATCATATAATACAGCTAATGACTCCCATAGTAAGGGCAAGTTATCAGAGGACTGCAATGAGATTAACTACATCTCACCTCCTTCAATCGTACCAAAAAGTATGGATCACCATCCCTGGAGGTTTTTAAGAAGAGATTGGTTGTGACCCTTAGTGCCATGCTATAGTAATTGGAGTTGAGTCAGGGGTTGGACTTGATGATCTTGGAGGTCTTTTCCAACCCAATCTATTCTGTGATTCTATGATTCTATGATTCTATGATCCCTGCAGTTAGGATTACGTGTAGTGCATCTACTATATATGAAACACATTACCCAGCACAACTCTAGTTGAAATATGTATGCAACACTCTAAAAGACAACTTGATTTCATACTTAAAACCTCTGAATTATTTTGGATGTGGTGATGCATTTCCAAGCTTTTTGCTGTTACAGGCTTGTAGAGTTGTAAAGTGGCATGTTATTTGACTGACCACCTGCTGTGTTCCTTGATGGAGTCTGGTCTGTGGCAGTATTGCCCACGTGAAGTCAGCCAATGAATTTTTATATTTAAAAGTTAATATTGTGTAAACTGAACAACCTTTATGGGAGCAGGTGAGGGTAGTTATTTTTCAGCGTAAAGGTTAAAGGTTAAAAAAAGCATAAAGGCTTTTTTAGGTGCCACTTCCTTGATTCAAGATTCTGTAGGGTTGTTTGGGTTTTTTTCCCCCTCAGGATAGCTACTGCCACTTGCAACAAAGTTGTGTTGCAAGCTGAATATTTTAAGGTACTTAAAAGTATTTGGTGAGGTCATTTGCTAGAGAAGACACTCAGAATCTTCTTCTTGGCATGTAATTTAAAACAAACAAAAATGAATTTGTTTAAATTGTTTGTTGTTTTAAAGTCCACACATGCCGAGTAAGCGGCATGGGATCTTATGCAGATAACTTATTTTTCTAGGGCTTTTTTGTTCACCTGTAACAAAACTGAGTTGCAATACCAAGCAATAGTAATCCAAGAAATAGGAAGAAGTAAAGCTAGTTTTTTTTAATGTGATGTAAACCATTAGTGAAGTTGAGGGACCATGTCAGCTGCTACTACTACTTAAGTAAATTTCCATTTGCTGGCATTTGAAGAGGTGAATACTGTTATCTAGGACCCTCAAAAAGTACAGCAACAGATGATAAAAATCTTCCACTAACATATATGTGTAGGTAAACCTGTGGTTAAAGTTAACTTTATTTTGTGTGAGGTTTTTTTCCTTTTGAGGTACAAAAATAGGCAGAAGGCCAAAAAGAGTATAGTGAAAGGAAAGATGCTGAGAATTTTTGACATTAGCTTTATCGTTGCTTGTGCTTTTCTGTCAGTAATGCATATTGACCGTGTTTGCTGTCCTTTACCAGTAAAAAGGTAAGCCTGTGCCTTCATTATCAAATACATTATGAAATAAGAGGATGCTGGATATAGATCCTACAAGATGCAGCTCTCAAAACTACCATAGCTTAACATCTGGGTTAACACTGCATTATCTTAGCATCTGAGTTTATGGAAATCATTAACAACCATGGCCCACATCACTTCCACAGCCTTGGTTGATAAGTTTCCTCTTTAGCTTTCCCCAGCCTGTCCTTCTCATTTGAAAAAAACCAAACCAACCAACCAACCAACCAACCAAAAACCCAAAACAAAACAAAAAGACCCCTCCAGCCAAAATGACAAGAAGCTTTTGTTGGAAAATCAGTGAGTTTAAAGACCATTTAAATTTCTCAGATGACTTAAAAGCTTCATTTCCTTGCTGCATGTTTAGGACAATGTATACAATTAGAAGAGTACAAATCCAAGTTGCTGATGGAACTTTGTGGGACACCTGAAAAACTGTGTGCTTCCTTATCCAGGAGTACTGGTGCCAGGAGGGGAAACAGGCTGCAGGACAGAGAGGTGTGAGGGAGGGAGCATTCTTTCACAGGCTTTTCTGAAGTGGATTGACGGGACACACTTTACTGGCTGTCAATGGTGGCTTTATAACAGTGTGCACTTTATTGTTGTTTTATGAAGAATACTTGTGGTTATAAAAGTACGTAACACAGGGGCACTCTTCTAGAATAATAGATTAGATCAGAAGGAAAAGCAGTTGGAGGATATTTTTGGACTTTTTGTCAATTACCCATTTTCTGGTTTCAAGACAGGTAAATAGATCAATTTTTCTGCGATACACGTCTCATTTACTTTTTCCCAGAAAGAAAAAACAAAGCAAATTTTGAAAAGTAAATCATTCAAGTTAGAGACATAGTTGCTTATTTGAGTGTCTTTGGAATTGTATTTTTCTACTCTCTTGGTAGTTGATTACATTCAAGCCCCTAAATTCTGTGTAGTGGGAAGGAGGTAATTCTGTAACATCTAATGTTCTTCCTCAGGTAGTGAAAAGATGCCTAATTTCGTGCAAGAAATTATCTCTTCCCTCCCAAACAACTGCATGTAAGAAACACTTTGCTCGGATACAATACATTCCACTACCAGCAGTTTGACAGCAAAACACAAAGAAAACATTTCTCTCCTTTGTGGATACCTTCTACACTGCCTTCAGCTGGAAATCCCTTGAGAAACCTTGATTTTGCTGTATTCTAGCAGCAACCACAAAATAGCAATTCCTTAAAAAATTCCTGTCACAGTGGTCCACATCATCTTTCCTACTGAGCACTGTCAACACCTTCTCATCTTCCAAACTGAATACATGAGCAGAAAGACAGGTGAGCGAGTCTGAGGTAGTAAATAGCTTTGAAACACTCCGTTTTTCCAGGGAAAGCTTGCTTGAATGCGATTTCTGGTCAAAAGGCCTACAGGCAGTGTGGAGGGCACAGTGTGAGCGAGTGCCGTGGGGTAACACAGCGTGTGATGTTGCCGTGGGATCAGTACTGCTTGTGTTACATGGTCTGCTCTTACCTGGCAGTAAAGTGCTCACCCTCCCTTGCCTTGCAGTGGCTTCTTCACACATCCTGACTGGGAGAAAACAACGTGTGTCAGGGCAGCATCTGTGGGATGTGGTTCAGTCCTTCATACTCGGAAAATTTCCCTTTGTGTCAGTACACGTGAGAGACAGGTGGAGGGGATCACCATCTGATCAGTGGCCATGTGTGTGTCAAATCCAGTGCAAAAGCACCTTGTTTTCAGCACATGGGGGTTCCATGTGTTGGCACAACACACCTACTGACCATTCCTCCATTTGTTCAGGAAAAAAAAATACTATTCTATGCAGAGGAGAGTAAATAATTGCAACCCAAAGTGACAGGAACTGAAGAAATATAGTCGTTTTACTTGTTCTGTGTTTGTTCTGGGCTTTTTCCAGGCTGTCTCAGCCTTCTGAAGAAAATCCCTGTGGTCTCCACGTCCATTCTCAACACACAAGCAGCATTGGAGTCTGTCAGTAACCCCCACCCGGGCAACCAGAAACTGGAGAATTACAAAATGTCTTTATTTAAAGTATTCTGCAGCACTTTACCTGCCCAATCACTGTTTTGTAAACATGGAACTGTTATATTGATCGTTTGTAAAAGCATTTAATAAATACGTGTTAGTTTTTATCTTTCATCATCTTATCGTGTGTTCGTTCCCGAAAATGGAAAAGGACTCTCCAACAACAAGCAGAGTGACCTTAACACCCTCTACAACTACCTGAAAGGCGGTTGTATCCAGGTGGGAATTGGCCTCTTTCCCAGGGAACTAGTGATGGGACAAGAGGACATAGTCTTAAGCTGCACCGGGGGGCGGTTAGGTTGGACATGAGGAAGCATATTTTCACTAAAAGGGTGATCAGACATTGGAATGGGCTGCCCAGGGAGGTGGTGGAGTCACCGCCCCGGAGGTGTTTAAGAAAAGACCAGACGTGTCACTCGGTGCCTGGGTCTAGTTGACAAAGTTGTGTTCGGTCACAGGTTCGACTGGATGATCTCAGAGGTCTTTTCCAACCTAATCGACGCCGTGAAAAATAAAACCCCTTCCGCGGAGCTCCCGCCGCTCCCGTGTGTGTTCCCTGGCACCACCCGGTCCCGCGGCCTCCCGCCGCCCGGGGGCAGGAGCGGGGCCCGGCCCGGCTCCTCCTCTCCCTTATCCCCTCCCTTATTCCCGGACGCTGCGTGGCCGCTTCCTGCTCGTCCGTGGCACTGCGGCGGCACCCGGGATCGTCTGCTCTGCTTGCCGCCGGTGCGTGTGCGTGTGCGGGGCCGGCCGGGAGCACGGGGGGGAGCATGGGTGGGATACGATGGGGCGGGCTGGGGCGGCCCGATCCGGCCCGGCGGGGGTGGCAGGCAGGCGGCGCGGCCGGGCCGGCGGCGCTCCCTTGGGGCGGAGGCTCCCTGTGAGCCCGGCCTGGCGCCCGTGTGGCCTGGAGGCTCCCGGCTGCTGCCTGCGGCACGCCTTAGCTCTCATTTTATTTACTCTTTTTTTTTTTTAATTTATTTATTTTATTTTTACGTTTTGCCCGCACTTCTGGTGTCCGTATAATGAACACCCGCCCGCCGGTGAGGCCGTTCTGCCTTGTGCCAGCCTTAGGGACACGGGCTCAGTTTAAATGCGGCTGAAAGCAGCTAAAAATCAGCTGCGATGAAGACCATGGGGGAGAACCCGGTTTGTCTGTGCCCGCCTGGGCTTGCAGGGTTGAGAGTGCCGCGGGTTTCCTTTCCCCGAGCCCCACA